TACTAAATAAAACACGATATTCTGGTTCACAACTGGAAATATGATCTATGCACTTCAACTGAAAAAGATAAAGTCTTTGCCATGAAGACTAGCTGAATTTGTTTATTATTTTTTAAAGACAGGGACTCACTATGTAGCCCTGGATGACCTGAAACTCATTATGTAGAACAGGTTGGTCTTGAACTTAGAGATCTGCCTGCCTCTACCTCCTGAGTTCTGGGATCAAAAGTGTGTGCCACTACACCTAGTAAGATCAGTTGAATTTTACAGTACACAATTTTAAGGCTGGTGTATAAATTGGTATGTGGACTGTGAACCTTACAAAACTAAAGACTCGGGGCTGGAGAGATGGCTTAGCAGTTAAGAACAACGGCTTGTGCAGAGGACATGGGTTCCCATCATTCACATGGCAGCTAACAACCATCCTTAACTCCAATTCTGGGGATCTGATGCCTTCTTCTGACCTCCCCAGGCACTGCATGTCATGGGTACACTTACACACATGCAGGCAATACACTCATACACATTAAAAAAAAAGAAAACAAAACAAAAAACCCTGAAGACTCAAATCCTCTTTGACTGAAATTTCCTTTGTGACTTCCACTATAATGAGACGGGCCTTCCTAAAGAGAAGGTTTCAGAAAGGAAAACAATCAAATTATCGCGCTGGAAAAATATAAAAGCCTGTGTTTGCTCAACAAACAAATGCCCCAAAGGGTTTCAATACACCAAAAGCCTTCTTTATTTTCTAGGATATTTTTTCCTTACGGAATTTGTTAAATTATAACTCTAGGGGAAGGAGAGATGGTTCGGTGGTTAAGAACACTGGCTGTTCTTGCAGAAGAGCTGGGTTCGAATCCCAGCATCCACATGGCAGCTAACAACTGTCTGTAACTCCGGTTCCAGGGGATCTGACAGCCTCTTCTGTCCTCCACGGGCATTGCATGACATGGGTGCACTTACCTACATGCAGGCATAACACTCATACACATAAAATAAAATAAAAAATAATAAAATATTTTTAAAAATTATAACTCTAGAAAATGCAAATTAGCACAGGTGAATCTATTTTCAAAACTGTACAAACTTCCAAATTAAGACAATTATAATAAATATTTACAGCTTTAAAAAGTGTGGAAAATTCTTTCAGCTAACCCTGATGGTATCTTTGAGAAGAAAATATTCTATTTGCTTGCCAGAGAACGGTGCACAGGCTCTGAGACTTTACTGTTTTCCCTCATGACTTAACTAGGAAGTCAGACTGAGGCTTCACATCCTCTGTGATTCAAACTCTGGTCATGTATGCTGAATGATTTATGCTACTTGCTATTAGTGACTGTAAAACTAGTGCTGTTTTGAGTCTCTGCTCCAGAGTCTGAGAGACAACAAGCCTAGGCCCTCACTCCACAGGTAGAAGAGAAGCTGATTCCAGGGAGTGTGGACGCCCAGCAATCTGGGGCCCATTTTTCACATTTCTTATTCTCCAACGACTTAGAAGCAACTGTCCGACGCACGCGGCAGACCTCAAGAAGCAACTGTGCAAAGCTGACTTTGTTGTCATGTGCATCTAGGGCCAGGAACATAACCAACGTGTTTCTGGCTTACCGTGAAAGACATTTCCATTTTTCTTCACGAGGGACAGCAAGGATGAAGGTGGGGTATTTGATGAGGGAACGCACGCGGCAGACCTTAAGAAGCAACTGTGCAAAGCTGACTTTGTTGTCATGTGCATCTAGGGCCAGTAACATAACCAACATGTTTCTGGCTTACCGTGAAAGACATTTTCATTTTTCTTCACGAGGGACAGCAAGGATGAAGGTGGGGTATTTGATGAGGGTATATGAAGAATTCAGGAACAGTTTCACAAATTTCAGGCTCATATACAAAGCTAGACCTGTAAGCTAACAGCAACTTTCTCCACCCACGTACTGAAATAGTCACTCTAAATTTCTATTCTTTTAAACTGAACTTTCTAAAAACAGCTATGTCAGGGACGGAGGGCGGCTCAGCAGTTAAAGGCACTTTCTGCTCCTGCAGAGAACCTGAGTTCCATCCCAGCACCCACATCAGGCAGCTCACAGGCACCTATAACTCCAGCTCCAGGGACATGGGACACCTCTGACGTTGGTGAGCACTTGTGCTCATGTGTGTCCCTCTGGGCACACATACAAACATAATTAAAAATAAAATAAACCTTAAAAAGGCAATGTTTCCAATTTCTCCTGGGAACTGCAGATTTGAAACTGGGACCAGCCAGGAGCACGGTACAAACAACGTCTTTGCAATAAAGCCACAAGCTACAACCTGCATGTTCTCACTATTTTCTGATAAAGTAACAGTATTGCTTTCTGAATTAACAAAATCCTTCATGCTACCACAAAAACTCTGCGGACCTCACTTCATAAAGCCAAACAGCTATAAATTCAGATGTAATATTGAACTACTTATCACTTGCTTATCAGAGTTTTTACTATAACAAGTAACTTTTCAGTAAACATCTTTGTTCAATCTTATACATGTTCAATTGCATTTATTTATTTAGTTATTTATTTTGTGGGGGTTTGGTGGGCAATGTGTGCCATGGCAGAAGCTGATTCAACTTGTAGGAGTTGGTTCTCTCCTCCCTTCTAGGGATCAAGCTCAGGTCATCAGAACCAGCAGCAAGCACCCTACCATGGAGCCGTCTCACAGGTCTTGTGAAAAAAACCAGAGTTGTCATAAATTTTTAGAGACTTCTCCGAGCCCTGAAGTTCTGCTGCGTCTTGTGTGTTGTAGAACAGGAAGGGTACCTTATTGCTCAGGTTCACATTTGCGTTTCTACTGAGGAGCAGCGACACCATGTCCACGTGTCCTTCCTGAGCTGCGAGATGAACGGAAGCAATCCCTTGCCGGGTAACCGCGTTGGCATCAGCACCATATTCTAACAGAGTTGTCGCAATGTCCATCTGGTTCTTCTTGGCAGTGATGTGCAGCGGTGTGTAACCATTCTGTCAACAGGAAACACTCAGTCATATGCCCCATACTGAGACAAAAATGTGTCCAGCCCATTTTCAAACAGCACACTTCTCTTACAAGTGGGTTTTTTTTTTTTTTGACTATTTGAAAAACCACGATAAAGTGAAAAAAAAAAAGATGGTGTTAAACCAAATGGTGTTATTTATTGCAGTGCCTCCTGCAGTTTTGAGTAGGAAAACACAATTTGATATAAGTAATTTAATCTAAGCGATTGGCATACTGTTGGTTTCTGAAAAGGAATACAGATTTTCCTTCTATTGATTGTTGTGATAGGTGCTCAATAAATATTGCTTTACAAGCCATTAATTATCCTGGGGACTATTCAGACCCATCAGAATCCCGTTCTTCAACTTGGTTTAGTGGCTATCTGTTATGGCTTGTAATGTGTCCTTCCAAACTTCATGTGTTAGAAACTTACAGAAACTCCCCAAATATGACAGAGTTGGAAAGTGGGACCTATAAGAGGTGGTTAGGGTACAGGAGGGCTTTTCTCCACAGATGGGTCAATGCTGAGATGGCAAGAGTGGGTTACAGAGGGAGCAGGTTATGGAGGGAATAGGCTAGAAAGGAAGTGGATCATGCAGGGAGTAGTCTATGGATGGAATGGATTTATGATGAAGTGAGTTTAGTTCCCCACTCCATGTCCTTCCATTTCCCACCATGGGATGAGAAAGGAGACTCTTGCCAAAAGGAGCCCCTCAGCCGTGGCCTTCCTAATCTCTAGAACTTTAAGAAGTAAATGTCCCTTATCAGTGTGATGTTAGGGCATCTCCCCAAACGAAGACACTGTGTAGCTCCTGCAAAGCTGCACTCATGAATCTTCTCAGGAGCCTGTTTATTTTCATCGAGGCTGTTGGCCTGTCTGGCCTCATCAGCCAGACTGATCACTTTGCAGCTGTCCAGACAGAACAGTCTTGAGTTTACCTTACTCTACCGGCTGCTGTCCCACAGCCAGGGTGTAGCCGTTGAGAATTTAACTCAAGGGCCACACCCTCCATGAAGTCTGCATCCTCTTTCCATCTCCAAAACCTCAACACCCAGCTCCTGCCCTGTAGGGACTCTAACTGCAGTATTGGGCATTTAGTGACACTCTTTGACTTACAGATTTGACTCCTCTTATTACAGTATAAGGCTGTTGAGGGCACACACTCCTGGAATATGTGACTTCATACTTCCAGCATGTCACAGTAATGGGCAGGTGTTGACAAATGGAGAGAGGAATTAGGCACACCAAACCTCTCAGAACACTTGGCCATCTTTCCCTTGCCCGACTCCTTGATGCTCAGCTGGAGACAGTTTCCTGGATAAACTGTTAATTAGCTGAGCTTCAAGGAGACTTCTGAGTGTCTGACCTGAGAGAGTGCTTTCTGAGACATTGTCCTGGTCCACAGCCATTTATGAGAAATGCAGAATCACACTGCGCTCTAAACGTGAACCCGACCATAGCAAATGGAGTGGAGAGTGGGAATGTCTGACCCCTCCGGCTGGCCGTGCCAGGGCAAAGGAGGTTTTATATCCCTATTTTTAGTCTTGACCTATCGCCATCTGGAAATCCCAGCTGCCCTGGGAAGCATTTGGCCCTCTGAGCAAATGCTCAGACACACCCTTGAGAGACCCATGCCTCCCCAAGCAACACAGAACCTGACTAAGCCAAGGCCACCCTGAATGACAGTTGGGAGGAGACAGTTTTCCACCTTCCACAAAAGGGAAAACTCACAGAGCAGCCCTGAACCAGGATTAGTCAACGTGTCTGACACCAGCACTGTAGTGGCAAAGGCTAGTGAGGTCTCCAGGCAGCTTTTTATCGGCATCTTATGTCCCTTTGCTTTCGCACTGACAGAATCTTTTGAGCTGAGCGGGGCATGGTGCTGCCTGCCTGTCATCCCAGGATTTGGGAGGCTGAAGCAAAGGACTGCAGTAAAACGTGAGGCCATCCTGGGCTCCACAGTAAGGCCCTATCTCAAGAATAAACAACAACAATAATAAAAGGAGGAAAAGACCCTTAACTAGCTTCTTTTCAAGTGTCAACCACTGTATGGCAGGTTGGTATCCTTCAGACATGGTGGTGCTGCCTGCCTGTCATCGCAGGATTTGGGAGGCTGAAGCAAAGGACTGCAGTAAAACGTGAGGCCGTCCTGGGCTCCACAGTAAGGCCCTATCTCAAGAATAAACAACAACAATAATAAAAGGAGGAAAAGACCCTTAACTAGCTTCTTTTCAAGTGTCAACCACTGTATGGCAGGTTGGTATCCTTCAGACATGACTATGTGGTCTGTTCTAATCCTTCAGACATGATTAAGCATGGTCTTTTCTAAGCCATCCCACAAATCCTAGGATCCAAGAAACACTTGTCACAAGAAGTTACAGGATCTCTAGATGTATGCCGGGTCTACACAGGATCTGTAATAGTCCTCAGACATTCATCCTGGGCTCCTTACCTGACATACAAAGCACATTATGAAGTAAGGAGGTAAAGGACTCCCATGGACATTGCTAAGATGTTAGATAGGAAAGCTCACCACAGAAAGTCTCAAGAAATAATTTCAATAAGAGGCAAAGAATTTATCTTGAGACTAACACTAAATCTCTTAAGTTTCTAAGCTCTATTTTCAGGAAAGTAAAAGACTCTCACTTTCTGTACTTAAGGAGGGAGATGCATTGATTTAATAAATAAAGCAGGGGGAGTCGGTTACAGAATAATCTTAAATCTTTACTTTCCCACATTAAAGCAATTTCTATATATTTTAAAAATATTTAT